CTTCCATGATTCCATTCATCACAATTACATTACTTCAACAGCACTTAAGAAGTCCAATGCCTTAGTTCCACAGATGTTTTCGTTTGTTCATCGCTAATAATACAGTGAACCAACTTAAGATATTTATAAAATGATCAATTAAATGAACAGCCAACGAAATAAATAACAAATCGCAAGCAAACAACATCTCAATACTTTGAATCACTTAAATATTCGCCCAGCAATTGAATAACAACCAACCAGGTGTATGAGAGGAAGCGATCGTGAAAATATCATTGAATGTAGAGTCGATATTGGAAATTGCCAACGGGCTATTAGTGTTGCGATTTGCTGGCGAATCCGGTTGGACCGAGAATCCGGTAGCTTCGAGAGCATCGTTTCTTGAGGTGGCATCATCGTGCTCGTCTTGAGGACTTGTCGATGATACGGATGCGGGCGAAGGTGCCAGTGAACTACTACCGGCCGAAGTCATCATCGCATCAGCCACCAACGGGGAATTTCGACACACAGCACAAACGTACTCACCTTCCAACGCATCAGCATCACACTCCGTATGAATCCATCTGAAAATTTCTCATTTGATTACGACTCTTTACTCATTCTCTACAGTATGGTATTTCCTATTGAATTAGCACTTTAATCCATATTCAACTCTCATTGAACAATTGATTTCTATGCGATACCAAGTCCAAAATGAATGATTCATCAATAGAGCCGTGGAAAAATTAAGCATTTCAAATAGTAGTCAGAAAATTTATCTCAGAATTTTCACACAGCATAACGAAAAAACCTGATGAAGTCCACGTGAAACAGGCAGAAGAAAATGTTTATCTTTAGAGTAGTCGAATTTTTTAAAATATATTCGAGGAAATTTATCAGAAGACATTTGAATTACACGAGAATTCATTCAAAGAGAATTCAAAAAATTACTTCCTACAAGCCGAACATAGTCGGACATTCGACGTGCTATTTATTGGTCGTGTACACATGGCGCAATGGGATGAGGAGGCTTGTTGCTGAATACGCTGCGGACATTCTGATGTACACACTTCACTCGAGCAATGACTGCACAACTGGAATCGTTGTTGAATGAATATTATGACTTGATATTATTATGATTGTGAATAGATTATGATAATTAATAATTAGATGCGAGCCAAATCATAGCTTGGTTCAGAATGTACCAATCATAGTGGTACACCATTCGGTTTCGAGCAAATCTGCCCTCCGGGAACGGGCGGAGAGTTTTGCTCGAACCCGAATGGTGTACCAATATCATTGATATTATGGCAATGTTATTATCATTGAGATGA